TATCTTTTCAAAAATACTTTGTATATAAATATATAAATTCAGTTTCCAATAAAGATTTTTATTTTTCTCTACGATGTTTATTATTTGTTTTTTTCAAAGCAGATAAATAGAGATAATAATAATAAGAATAATAATGGTAATAATGATGATTATGATTATCAACGGATGATGATAATCACGATAGAATTATTAATTCGTTCCTATTTGAATTATGATACATAGAGAACAAAGAGAGCAGATAGTATCCTTTTCTTTGAAACAAAAATTCCCATATATATATATATGTATGACTACATGTGTATACATACGGCTAAGTTAAATACACAATGTTGAATATTCACTATTGAGTTCTAATTTGGTTTATATAAGATTGAATTATCTTGTATTCAATTGTATATGTATTATTATTATTATTATTGAGAGTTTTCCATAAGAAAAACGTTGATTCATTTTAAAGGGAACATTATTAAATGGATTCATTATAATGTCCGGATTGTATTATCGTCCTAGTACAAGTGAAGTGAGTTATATTCTAAACAAAATAATTTTTATGTTTTTTTTTCAAATATTTATTGTTATCATGATAGAATAAGTCAAGTTGGGTATTAAGTGTGAGGTATAAGTTTGACGCAAGTCAAGTCACATTATTACCGTCCGATCTGGGTAGATGCCAACCATCCATATACTTACTTACTTAATTACGCCTGTTCCCCCCTTTTGCAGTTGTTGATTTCTGTGATGTATTTCCTATCCATTTCCATTATCTTTTCCTAATCTCCTGTTCAGAGGAAGTTGGTTTGTTCTCTCCCACAGTACTCTGTTATTGACGGTACCCGACCAACGGACATTGAGTATCCTGTGTAGACAACGACATATAAGTAATTGTACCTTCTTGATGGTGGTTGTTGTAGTTCTCCAAGTTTTAGCTCCGTACAGTAGAACTGACTGTCTTCATGTTCGTATTGAAGATTGTGACTTTGGTATTAGTTGAGAGTTGTTTTGGGTTCCATATGTTCTTCAACTGTAGGAATGCAGCCCTCGCCTTACCTGTCCTCGCCTTTACGCCTGCATCTGATCCTAATTGTTCATCGATGATGCTCTCAGGTACGTGAAGTATTCTACATCTTGCAGAGTTTCGCCATCAAGTGTGATTGGGTTTGTGTTCTCCATGTTGTATTTGAGGATGTTGATTTTCCCCTTGTGTATGTTGAGGCCTACTGATGCAGAGACTGCTGCTACACTGGTTGTCTTCATTTTCATTTGTTCGTGTGTATGCGATGGGATATTTTACATTTGCCGTCTGTTTATTAGTAGGTTTTGTGGACGATACATGATTGATTTGATTCACTCAATTTGTTAGCATTTATAAGGTAAAATATTTTGCATTGTTTATATAAAAAAGAGGACATAATTTAAGCAACTCGTTGATAATTAAAAGAATATTTATCACCACAGCAATGTATGTCATTGAGTTTACTATTGAGGTTGAGTTTAGAACTTTCTAGTCTTTTGATGATCGTTAAATCGCTAAACTACTAATTTGGTTTGTACTTTGAATTTTTATTGATTTTTTTATTCTGTTCAACTGTTTTCCAACATTGTTAATAGAGAAATGCCTAAAATCTGAGACGATTGATAACTACTGTTCATGAGTTCTGATTTGAAGTTTAGGAATTACGTTTTGAAATTAATTTACAATTGTGATGCTTATAAAATTTTGAAATTTGTAATATTAACGCATCAGAAGTGATAATGCTGTTGGTAACTAAATACATGAACACTTGAATATAAGTTAATTTTCAAATACATTAGATTGCTCAATTGAATAACGAACATATTCTGGCAAATGGGAATTATAGTCACTGATACCAATTGATGTAGAAACTTGTAAGTGAAGATAATCTAGTTAATTGAGTAAACAACTGATATCCTCTTAAACTAAGATAGTCACAAGTGATTAATCGATTGGGTTCGACTTGTGTCAAGTATGTTTAATGCTTAGTGTTAGTCGAGTTATATTGATCAAACTACGATTTGGCCATTGTTGTAAGTGACTAGAATGAGACTTTAGACTATTAAAGGTAAATGGATAAAACTAGGAACCTGTCTAATTCTCAAGACGTGGGTATATGAAATCTCACAAACATTTATTCGAATTAGCCTGTTACTCTTTAACGACAAATAGTATTGTGCTGTTTGTTATGTAAAAGAAATGAAAATACTTGAGAAACAAAAAAAATATTTAAAAATGTTTAGTTAAAGCCTTCATTTTAATTGAGAATAGGGTCTCCAGTTAAAACGGTCAACATCTTGTCGCAAAATATTATGGTCATCCTATGTTTCTTTTAAATTTAGTCATCAAGATAGGAATAGGGTAGCTAATGTATGCTGTTATTATTTAAATATTGTTGGTTAAAAACGGTTTATATTGGAGATATCCTAATAAATTCACATGTGCATTAGCCAATTATTAAATTAAAGGTAAGGTTATATCATTAAGCCTGACTATTCATCAGTAGAATGAAATATTCTTATGAGATATCATTAAGTAGCAGTTTTCACAGCGTTAAAGAAACATATAGTATCTTGTTGACAACACTTCATAGTGTTTAGTCACCTGAAGCGGATCATTTAAATATACAAGACCGGTTTGTATACCGATGGATATCGTTTAACTAAATTCCTCATTGTGAAAGCTGATTGTGTACCAGATGGAAATCACAAACTGTTCATTAGTGTAATGTCAAATAGCATTCATAAAGATTTTGGTGAAACGTGATCAAGAGAACGTATACAAGTTTTAAGATAAAGTACGCTCTGAATATTACAACTACACTTTAAATCTTTGATGATTTTATTTTCGAATCGTCTGTAAAGCATTTTAAAATAATACACTAAGACATTAACATATAACAAATTCATTTGGAAGTAGTATTAGTCAGTTCAAATGTTGGTGTCTACTAAGATTGTGATAAAGCGGTAATAACTGTATCAATGTAATATCACCAATAAAACAACCTAAGAATGACTTTCATTCATGAGAAATAATACAATACAATTGAATTTCTATCAAAGGGTTTTACAATATGTCAGATAAAACGTTAATTAAATTAAGTGAAGTTTTGTTTGGAAAGGAAATAGCGACTAAGTTTCATCTAATGAAAAGTACACAATTGTCGGTTATTATTTATTATTTATCATTACTGCTCTTTACCGACAGCTATAATGTGTAATATACTTTATGGAAGAAAATAAATAATCCAAGAATATGGGAATTATTATTTATTAGTTTAAGGGATTTGTAGAGTTGTGAGAACTTTCAAGGTTTAAATCATGAGTTGATCTCAACTAGACCAACATTGAAAACATGGAAACACTGGACGTCCATTTTGTCTTAGTATATGAGACAGTAATTGAAGGCAGGCAATGCATGAGCGTTGAGCAGTATTGTGAATTGTTAGAAGTTAGACATTAACGATGTTAGCTGCCGGCTTAGTGGTCTAAATGTTAAGGGTTCATCGCGAAACTGAGAGTCGTTGGTTCAATTGGTTGTGTATGTGTACTTCTGAGGAGTCTTATACTAGGAGGAAACGATCGTTCGGTGGTCCAGGTCTACATTAGTAACCTATGTAAGATCACTTCGCAAATATAAACTTTGAAAATAGTTATTTATGTTCATTAAGGTTATTAGTAATAAAACTAGTAGGAAGTGAGACAAAAGAAGAAAAAATCGTAGTAATCTGTATATTAGGTCGGTGGATAGATGAGGGACTGATACTACTCACATACAGTTGAAGGATTTATTCAGTAATAACTTTTAATATTTTTTTGAAAACATTTTCAGCCCATAAAAACACTTCGAAATAATTTGCAACTTAGTGATTCCTTCACAAATACATAACAGAATGTCTTATCAATATTAGATGTAAAAAGAACAGTTGATCCTACTAATTATTTGTTTTACCCAACTAATTTTCGACCTTCTAGTCGGTTTTCATAGATTGGATACACGTCGATATATCCTTTGATTGTTGAGTAATATGAATTTTAAGCCTCGAAAAATTCACTGGTCTTCTTCGAATAACTTATAATTACCCATACATTCCTTTATCTTAAATTTTCCACATGCATAAAACTAAGTGAAGATATAAATTGTGTTACTTAACAATCAAACTGATATTAAGCAATAACAAACGAACAGATAGATTCTCTCATAGTTGTGTTAGCATACATTATAGATGACCTTATTGTTTCGTTTGAAACAATATCATACCTTCATTTTGTGACTAACTTTAGGGTGATATTCTTTTTATGACTGATAGGTCCTCGGTTTGAATTCCGCGAGGCGGGATCGTGGATACGCACTGTTGAGGAGTCCTACAATAATGGACGAAAAGACCGTTCAGTGCTTCCAGGTTTTCCATGGTATTATAGCTTTAATCTCAACTATTGTAATACAAATTGTCAAAGAAATATCTCATATTTTGACTAAACACCTTACATCTAACATTTCAAGAAAATAAACTAAGACAGTACTATTGTAAACACAAAAGCTGACAAAAACAATACAACAGTAGTCATGAATAAAAAGTATTATGATACTAAAGCTTTTGAACATCTCTCCACAGAAGTATATCAAAGATTGATCCCAAATATCTTTGAACGGTTAAAAATAAAGTGAAATCAGAGACAGTTCAACTTTTGCAAGAACTAAAATCAGTGACTGGTGTCTCTTTATGGTCTACTTCATATCCCAAATCATGCACTAATCCACGTTTTTATGGTTTACCTCAAATTCCTACTAAGACCTTTAGTAAACTTTACAGACACGCCAACATATGCATTATTTAATTATCTGGACAGAATATTAAAGCCAATTCAACAAAACTTACACAATAAAATTGAAGAGTCCTATGACTCAAATAGAAACTATCGGAATTAATTACTTAAAAGAATGAAACCATGATAAACTATGATATTGTCTGATTATACACTAGTATTCCTATAGATAGATGCATAAACTTTATTAGTGATTTACTAGAGAATGACGAATACTTTATCTGGCAAATATCCTTTAAACATCAGTCTAATTATGAAATCGCTAAAACTGTGCTTAAATTCAACCTTATTTACTTTTAATGGGACATTATACAAGCAAACAAGCAGATTAACAATGGATCCTCCATGTACTCAATTGTAGCCAACCTGTTTATGTCACATATAGAATCGGATATTTTCGCCGATGATATTAAAGCACGGATTTGGCTCAGGTATGTAGACATACCTTTGTTGTCATAAAAAGATTCATCTAAGATCGTTTTCTAAGTTGATCAGTACACTCTCATCTCACATTAAATTTACATATGAGAATGAAAATGAACATGATAATCTACCTTTTTTAGATTATTTAGTTAAAAAAATCTAAGTGGAGCTCTGAATCTAACTATCTACCGAAAACCAACGCACTCAAATAATTATATAGACTTCAGCGTAATTCTCTCTGGCCCTAAATCTTTTTAGAAGAGTAAACAAGATTATTACGTCTGAAGAGGATAAATAAAAATAACGAAAACATGTAATTAACATCTTACAAATTATTAATTTTCCTATGAAGATTATTAAAAGTGCAATCAAACCAAGACGTGTTACTGCTAAATAATAATGAAATACTATGGATTGATACGTTGGTTTAATCATACGGACATGGTACAACAGAAGAACTTCAAAGTATGTTGCAGAACAACGAACACCCTTTGAAATGCTTTACTTCGCATAAAGGATCAAATCCCTTTTGTGTGAACACGGAAGTGTGTTTAAAAATTAGGTTGTGATGATTGCGTTGCCTTCTATATTGAAGAGCCATCTTGTGAAATCTTGACTCAAACCAAAGAACATCTTAGGTACACAAAGAAACCTCCTAACGATTCCGTAGAGCTGGAAAGATTTCAAATTCATTCGGTAATAGCAGTCTATGCCATTTTCAATAACTATCAGGTCGATGTTCAAACCACCCAAATAATAGAAAAGAGCTTTTTCAACTACAATGGAGGGCGAATAGCTGAAGCTTTTCATATATTACTTAATTCTATTGCCCTCAATGGAAAATAAGACTTTACTATCCATCTGACTTGGATCATTTATCGGAGTCACTTATCTAGTCACATCTCGCATCATCGCACACGCAAATTCAACTCTGTCCTTTCGCATTACAAATGTCATATACACACAAATACACAAATATCACACACATAAATCACCTTGACCGGAATGACATGACCAGACCTTTTTGTAATTGATTGCACTTAATATTCTTGCACTGTTAAGTTAGATAACACGGACAATTCACTGGATGCCAACTCAGTGGTTTAGAGGTTAAGGGTTTGAGTGTAAGACAGCGATTTCTGGATTCTGTCCCCGGATATGGGGTCTCAGATCATCACTTCTTAGGAGTCTCGCACTAGGATGAAACGGCCATCCAGTGCTTTCAGGTTTTAATGGTGTTCCAACTTAGATTGATTCATGATTTCAGTGAAATCATTCTAAGTAGATTGAATATGATCACCGCTAAAGGTATGGATGATTGTTTTTACTACTACTACTACTACTACTACTACTACTACTACTACTACTACTACTACTACTACTACTACTACTACTACTACTACTACTACTACTACTACTACTACTACTCATAATTTTCACAAGACATGATGAATTTGAATTTTTCTTCTGGCTGAACATACGAGTCAGAGTGAAAATTTATTGAAAGTAGTTCCATTTCCTTTTTTAATCGTTTCATTAAATGATGCTATCAAGAAGCCAATGTGGCTTTATGAAAAAATATTACAAGTATGTTCCGTGCATTTGTATGGAGTTTATGTTCATTCAATGCATATAAAATGCTTGTAAAGAGAAAATAGTGACTGATTTTGACAGTCGAGACCATCTGGTCAGAGGAAATTACCAAGCGGTTATGAATCCCCATTTATCTATACAACATGACTCATAAGTAAGGATATCGTTATGTCTAGAATGAATCAGTGATACTTTAGGGACTTGAAGTACACCATGACCAGGTGAGTTAATAATTAGCTACTTTAATCTATAGATTGGGTTCTCTGGTGAATGACGAACGTTTTTAACCTGTGATCCGATTAAGTTAGTCTTCATCCTCCTAACGTTTTACTAATTCATATATGCAGAAGTCAAAGACTGTGTAGATAGCTTTATTGTCAAATGCCAAATGATAACCCTTGAAGCTCATGAGTATTTTACTGACGATTAGGCTGATCTAGATTACCATAAAAATGTGAATAATCCGTTTCCTCATGGTTCATCGACCACATATCTCATCTTCCATACATTCTCAATATATCTCATATGACTTTTTTAGGTTTGCTTAGCATATAGAAAACTTGATGTCATAGGTCCATGATATCAATTTTTGAAACCGAATGTAACTGACTGCAAAACTGTTCAATAGAACTTAATAAGCACTTAGATTTAAACATTGACATACTTCTTGATATCTTTAAATGATTCTCTTATGCAATAACTGTATTTTTAAAATATAAATACATCAAAAGCGGAACGACAACATTATCCGCAATCCAACACTCCTTATTTGATGCTAAGTGGTTAGAAGTAGTTAATAAAAAAGCACGCATGCAGGTTACCATAACACACTTTTGTCTGAATCCTTAGATTACTTGTAATTAACTTCAACACAAGTTTCAAGTATATATTCATATATTCATACAAGTCGTTAATGGCTAATAATAACGTTATACATACGTATGTAATAAGTAAACCACTATTGTGTTATACATACATATGATTCTTTTCAGTCATCTTCCAACTTGAAAATCTGATTATCATAGGATTATTATTGTCTATAAAGCAGTTTATAGTTTAATGGATACAATTTTATTTAAACATGGTCTAATAAAGACTTACGTAACTATCTTCTTTAATTCTGTTCACCTAGTTATGTAAGTATAATTGATCTTTCCTGTTACTAAGCAACTTGTATACGATATTAATAATTCATAGATTTTGGTTAATTTAAATAACAGATAATGGTAAATGTTGTTAGAGTCAACTTAAACATTATTATTATTAAAACGACTTTTATTATAGAAAACGTATATACTACTTGTGTTATGCAAGGTGATGAAATGTGGCTTTTAGAAAAAGTTTTTTTCTATTGAATTGTCGATTTTGATAGAAATTAGTTGACTATCTAATGCTATGGATGAGATAATTAATTAGATTCTTCTAACTCTCAATGAATAACTTTAATAGTTGAGATGATGAGTCAATTGAAACTAGACTTCCATGGAAAACCTGGAAGCACTGGACAACTGTTTCGTCCTGTTGTGGGACTCCTCATCAGTGCGCATCCACAATCCTGCCTTGAGATATTCGAACACAGGACCTATCAGTCTCGCTCACGAACGCTTAACCACTAGACCAGTGAGCTGCCTGGCATCCAACGGTGTTAATGTCTAACTTCAACTAGTCCACGAAATTGAGCGACACATCCACCATTATCATCAGTGAGTTACCATCTCGGTTGACCCGGTTGAACTTTAAAGTGAATATAAGTGTTGAAAATATCACTTTGACGGACGTTAAACGCTATTCAAATCTTATATGAGCTATGTTTACTGGACATCGTATAGGCCCATAGTTGACAATGCTTAGTATTCGTGCAATATCATATTTTGACACAAGTTAGAAATGTAGACAATCATATGTTAACACAATGGTTTAAGTATGAGAGGCTTTCTTCAAGGTCTGAATGTTTCAGGTTCGGTTCCAAAGGAGTAGAGGCTTGTAGGGGCTAATTTTTCTTTAGGATTTTTTCTAATGATAATGTCCAGACAAATAACGAAAGATCCTCGATAGTCATGAGTTATCTGTTCACGTTCCATCAACCTGAAAATATTCTATGAATAATTTCATACTACTTTGATTCTATTTAGTAGTACAATCACAAACACAAAATAAGCGACGGAAATCTGATTAGTATCAGAAGGCGTTTTGTGGAGATTATAGTAATTTAAACAATTGAGATTATGAGTCAGTTGGAGCTAGACCACCGTGGAAAATCTGTAAGCACTGGATGGCCGTTTCGTCTTATTGTAGGACTCCTCAGTAGTGCGCATCTAATTTAAAAATTTACCAAAGCTTTTTATGATTTACTAATTTTTCTGTTTTATTGACATAGCTAAATTCAGAAGTGATGAACCAAGAAGGAGATGATGAGAGCCCATTAAACAGTTTACTAAACGATGTTCCAAATTATATGCAACCTGACCCTATAAAATCTAAACTTAATTCAGCTGTGAAATCAGATAAAAAGAATATCAAAGATGATTCTGTAAATATTAAAAAAATTTCTTCTCGTTCTAGTGATCAACATCGTTATCATCAAAAAAATAATCCGAATTATGTAAGTTTCAAAAACTATTCATATCGAATTTATTTATTCAACATCTTTTACATTTGTATTCTAAGTGGATTACTTTGATATTGTCGTTGAATCACAAGTTTTTAGTTAATTGAGGATACACATTTGCTAACAGAGACTGATTGTATTCAGTCCTTTTCATATACAGTGGTAAAATATGAACTTCTAAGAAAAACTCATACCCGTTAAACAAGCCAGTGGCAGTTCAGACTCAATAACTAAGTGAATAACGTTTTAGACGAATAGTACTGCGTTTGAGTCTTTTGTTGAATATGAACTATGGGATCTAGGGACATCCAGCTGACGAATCCTAAATAGGAATGAAAGTACGTCTTGGATTCCACTGATAGCCACCATTCCATTCTGCTTATAATGTCTCTGACTTAAAATCAATATCAATGCAATTAGTACGGGATGCATATATGTTAAAGGTGATTGATTAATTGCAGTCTTCAACATCAATAGGAAGATTCAAACGACCGGTACAAATAAATTAAATTTTACACTACTTCATAAGCCGGTTGCTATCTGTACTCAGTAGCTAAGAGGATGAAACGATGTCGTTTTAAGCGGGTCCCGAAGTGAACATCAACACTAAGATATAGGTAACTCCATCTGACAAGTTCAAAATAGAATGAAACGCTCATCCTTTATTCCACTGCTAGCAATTGTCCAAAGTGATTCAATGAATTGTCCCGCATAAGTTAACCGGTAAATATTGTATTTCTGAGGTGTCAAATGTTTCCTAATTATCAATCACTTGCTCAAATTAATTCAGTTTTTTTAATATAAACAATGCAAACATATTTTGTCTTATAAATACTAACAAATTGAGTAAATCGAATCAATCATGTATCGTCCACAAAACCTACTAATAAACAGACGGTAAATGTAAAATATCCCATCGCATACACACGAACAAATGCAAATGAAGACAACCAGTGTAGCAGCAGCAGTCTCTGCATCAGTAGGCTTCAACATACACAAGGGGAAAATCAACATCCTCAAATACAACATGGAGAACACAAACCCAATCACACTTGATGGAGAAACTCTGCAAGATGTAGAATACTTCACGTAGCTGAGAGGCATCATCGATGAACAATGGGGATCAGATGCAGACGTAAAGGTGAGGATTGGTAAATCAAGGGCAGCAGTCCTACAATTGAATGACATATAGAACTCGAAACAACTCTCAACTAATATCAAAGTTACAATCTTCAATACGAACAGGAAGACAGTCAGTTCTACTGTACGGAGCTGAAACTTGGAGAACTACTACAACAATCATCAAGAAGGTACACTTACTCATAAATAGTTGCCTATTGGCCGGATACCATCAGCAACAGTCTACTATGAGAGAGAACAAGCCAACATCCAGCTGAAGAGGAAATTAGGAAAAGATGATGGAAATGGATAGGTCATACATTACAGAAATCATCAAACTGCATCACGAGACACGCCTTAATTTGGAATGTTGAATGGAAGCAGAAAAGTGGAAGGTCAAAGAACACATTACGTTGGGAAATAGAAGCAGATATGAAAAGGATGAACAACAACTGGAAAGAATTGGAAAGTATTGTCTAGGGCAGAGTTGAATGGAGCGTGTTGGTGGGTGGCCTATGCTCCTCCAGAACGGGTAAGTAAGCAAGTAATTTCATCTGAGAATTAATGTCTTACTATTGATATGGTTGAGTTTAGGAGCACATCTCTGAATGAATGATAAGGTTGAAACTAATCTTCATTTTTATGATTTAATATTATTGGAAATATTATATAACATTCAGGTTTCTTTTCTTTATAAAACAATTAGGATGTAAATCAATCACAAGATGATCATAATTTATCAGAGAAACAATCATTACTTAATCAAAATTCTAAATATTGGCCACAATATCTTAGCTCAGATTATTTAGGTCCAATGGAAAAAATTTTGAATTCAACAATTGGGATTGGTTACGATTAAATGTACTTGGATCTGGTTGGGAAGATCTACTTAGAGAAATACCAGTCAGTCGTAAAGAAGCATTAAATTTACTTGGTAAATTATATTGATTTATATATATTGTTTATATAGAATTTATTAGACTATGGTTAGTTGGATAGTGGCTATCAGCGGAATCCAGTTTGACGCACGTTTCGTCTTGTTTCGGACTTGTCATATGAATATACTTGGATTTCAGAGTTGATCTTCACTCTGGGACTCGAATCCAGTACTATTCGCTTCAAACACCATTGCGTTATCCACTTACATACTGAGTCCTGTGAAAAGGGGTGAAGTTTAAATTCACTTGATATTACTTACTTAAATCTTCACATTGATGTTTAGAACTGAGATTAACATTATGGATTAATTAATCGGGCTATATTGTAAATGAGGGGGAAGTGAATAGTTATATTATCTTAATATCTGATTCATAGTTGTATACTTACGACCTAACCAGTAAATGGATCCAAGTTATTTGAGATGGTGGAGAAGATTTGTAGCTCAAGTGGATGATTTTGGTGGAGTTTTGTTCTCTGAGCTGGATGGTTTGGTCGTGGAGCTTTCATCGTTCTTCAATTAGCAGTCAAACGGCATGATATCTCTTCACTTATATCAATACACGTGGACAACTGCGGACACTCATTCGATTGGAAAAATGTGGAAATCTTAGACAGAGAAAACTCCTAAAACACCAGAGAATTTTTAGAAGCCTGGCACTCAGGTCAATTAGCAATCAACAAGCATATTGAAATCAATCCAATTTATCAACCAATCAGAAAAATCATGCACAAACATAAGAACAAAAATCAAAACAATGGGAGACACAACCAAAACAAAGAAGTAAACAACGACAAATTTAAGGTCAATAAGAACCAATCAACGTCGAGGTGCACAGAACAAGCTTTGAGACACATATGGAGAAATTCGAACACTTCACTTCTATCTGAAGTTTGTGCTGATGATGTCGTTCAGAAGAACGATGAAAGCTCCACGACCAAAACCATCCAGCTCAGAGAACAAAACTCCACCAAGATCCAAGTTATGATATGGTGATCTGTACCCCATTATTAGCGGAACACTTCACCTTAAAAGTAAAATACTATTTACACAAAGAAATTCTTTTTTTCTTTCGAAAAGTGGTAATATACACGAAAAACAAACCTTTTTTTTGTAAATATCATGCTGGGAACAAATAAACTTAGATATACATATATATGTGTATTATTAAAACAATTCAACTCACTAAACTATGAATTAGAATAGTATTTTTGAGTGAAAAACCAAGATATCAAGGTTAATGATTAGCACCAATTACTGTTTTATTCTGATGATTCGATTATCAATAAATCGATTCGATAGATTGATAATTGTTTTCTTGAAATCACAGCTTGTTCGTTTTGGCATGCATAGTAGATATTCACAGTGGGTTAAATAATGAAAAGAAAAAGGTGGTGAACTGATAATCTAGAAAAAAAAACGTAAATATTATTATAAGAAAATATGGATAGTGGTTAGCAACGGAATCCAGGACACGAGTTTTGTCATATTTTGGAGTCGTCATCTGAATGTACCTGCATCTCAGAGTTGATTTTAGCTCTGGGACTCAAACCCAATACATTTTGCTTCAAACGCCATTGCGTTATCCATTTAGTTACTGAGTCCTGTGAAAAGGAGTGAAGTTTAAATTCACTTGATATTGTTTACTTAAATCTTCCCATTGATGTTTAGGACTTCAATTGATCATTCATTTAAAGTTCACCTGATTGCACAAACAACTGACTATCAGAACTCAGTAGCCATGACATTTGAAGCAAACGGTAGTGAGTTCGAGTCCTGGAGTGAACATCAACTCAGAGATGCAGGTACATTCAGCTGACGAGTTCGAAATAGGAAAAAACGCTCGTCAAACTGGATTCCGCTGCTAGCCATTATCTATCTTTGCATATAATGCTTGTGAATTAAGGTAATATCTAGGCAATCCGCACAATATGCGCATATGCCAACAACAGACTGATCAATCGCAGTCCTAAACATTAACTGGAAGATTCAAGTAAACAATACCAAGTGAATGTAAATATTATTATTTGTAAATAGAAACTAGTTATGCTTCATTTACGACTAACTATTGTTGATCATACTGTTATCTTAGACTATTGGTTAAAGAATTACTATTTAGAGTCTATATTTAATAGCAGAGAGAACAGTGGTATTTTAAGAAGTTGCATTTTTTGCTGTTGATGTATATAGCTGAGAATGATTAGTCTCTGTTGGTTACTAATAGGTCACAAATAGAAAAAAGCCGAGTTTTGGATTCTCATATACTAACCACTGATCAGTATTACTAGGGAAAAACAATACTTTAGAAAGAATCGTATGAGCATACTTTATTTTCCTAGATGTCTTACCGACTTTTCGAAATCTATAGTATTTTACTATCTACCTTACGAATGAACTTTCATTCACAGATAGGACGAAACGGCCGTCCATTGCTTCCAGGTTTTCAATGGTGGTCTAACATCAATCGGTTGATGATCTCAATCAAAACTCAACAATCTCCACAACTACTATACTGATAATTATTAATAATCATTAGTAGTTAGATTAAGTAAATATTGATTTAAATTAGAGAGAACGATATATCACATTCATAGGATGTTTCTAGGAGAACTTTGGTGACAGTACTGTTTTTGCTATCAACTTGTATTACACTATGACTATGAAATATAACTGACGGAATTGAAAAATGTGCATAGGATTCAGTTTTTGATCATAGATATCTTCGAAACACCATTTACCTATTGTGGAACGATAGAGGGAGAAATGTTAACAGTTAGCTTAAGGTACTAAGTATAATCATATGATTTTCAGTTCCATTATAATTCTAACGCTTCTTTGAACTATAATATAATAATTTCCTATTCTCTCTAACTCCGATTACTTCAAACATACAAATCTTGCAAGGAAGACTTATTTGATGAACCTCAGAAGTATTCGTTTACATTTAGATTTATTTAATTGCATATAGATTAGATCCAATGATTATTTATGATAAGATTTGTCAAACTGAGCAGTTGATACTTGAACGGGAAATTACAGTGAATGAATGATCAAAATGAAAATACAAAAAATCTCACTTGAAAATCAATACAGAATCATACGATTTTTCTATCAAACTTGATAAATTGGTCAATAAGGCTGTATACCTTCCTTAACTGAGGTATTTGAGTTATGTATTGCATATGCTTAACCGCCTAACTCTATGTTTAATAATGACTGGATTAAGAGTAAGTTGGAGTAGTCAAAGCAATAGTTGGTATCCATTATGAATATAATTTACTTGTAGTCTGAGAATTGTTGTTAATCGTTGACCACTTGGTTGGAGATTGAGTGGTTGTGACCAATGGTTGAATGACATGAATCAGAATCGATCATAATGATACAGATGAGTTCATTCTTTGCTTCTCCTAAGGTTTTGATTTTTAAACATTTCATTTCGTTTTCTCGAACTATATTTTCAATGTTTAGTCTCTCTCTCTTTTTCTCATTATGATTGCTTCAATAGTTATATCCATTATTTTGTAATGGAAACTTGAATCAATGAAAATTCGTATTAATCTCTATGCTGATTATAACTGATTCATATTAGTTGTTAGGATTGAATTTGTTAGATGAACTGATAATATGCACTATAGGTTATGTGAATGTTTCCAAGTGAATGATCAATGTTTTTCTGTTGTACAGATTCCAATACAAGAGTAAGTAAACTGTTTCAGATTCTTTTTGATTGAAATCATGAGTCAATTGAAGCTAGACCACCATGGGAGACCTGAAGCACTGGACGGCCGTTCGTCCTAGTATAGGCCTCCCCAGCATTGCGCATCCACTGTCCTGCACCCCGCGAGATTTGAACTCAGGACCTATCGGTCTCGCGGCAGGCGCTTAACCAACTAGACCATTGAGTCGGCATCCAATGGTGTTAATGTCTAACCTCAACCAATCCACGAAATCGCGCAACCACCTTCCATTTTACTGAGGTAGACACCTGTTTCTACCCGACACGGATTAGCTCCACTGGTCACGGCTTCTCACTAGAGCTCCGAGAATTCCCTCACCAAGCTAGTCACTAGTGAGCACATGGTAATTATCAGTTTAGGGGTTGTGGAGATTGTTAAGTTTTTGATTGAAATTATTTGTACAGAATTCATAAATGTTTTTACTAACATTCAACTAAATTTACATTTTAAATCATTTAGTTATTATGAAGAAGAAATTACTTAGAGCAGCAAGTGAATTGACATTTTACAAAGAACGTGTTACTATATTACAAGATCAATTAATTCATCAAAAAAGGAATGAAGAGAAATTGATTCGAGTAATGTATATATATTCATGAAATTTATAAATGTTCTTCTATATATATATATACCAATGGTTTATGTATCTCTTCCTTATAGAGCATTCATTATCAATCTCGACAACATAGTCGGCATCTTCTTTGTACAGAAATGATCTTTTCAATTATTCCAAAAGTGTTTTATCAGACCTTTTTTTAAAACCTTGTTTGTAACTAACTATTTTTGTGGATTTTACTGTTTTCATTTATGCCGACTGTTTTTGTTAATTGACTTCTGATCTATGGGTTTATATAATGGATCTATTTCGATATGCCAAAAGGTAAATTGATAGAAATAGTGAGTATGAAAACAGTCCATTACAAGCAAGGTCATCAAAACAAACTGATATAACATTCAGTTTAGTGGTTGTGGAGATTGTTAAGTTTTTGATTGAGATTATGAACCGATTGATGTTAGACCATCATTGAAAATCTGAAAGCACTGGAAGGCCGTTTCGTCCTATAGTGGGACTCCTCAACAGTGCACTTCCACGATCCCGTTTGCGGGACTCAAAACCAGGGCCTTCAGTATCGCGCGCGAATGATTAATCCACTGGACCACTGAGCTGGCATCCAGTGGTGTCAATGTCTAACCTCAACCAATCCACGAAATTGTGCGACCATCTTTCATTGTACTGAGGTAGACACCTGTTTCTACCCGGCACGGATATAACATTTATGGAATATCTGAAAGCCTCAGTTCTACTTGAAGTAGACTGTAAATGTGTCATACAGAGTGATGAAGAAAGCACGCAAACCCCACTAACTAGTTTAGAGAACAATGCGTTATGAAAAACATCTATCTTGGCTACGATTCGTTTTTGTCATTTCAGTGATTTTTGTGCAGTTTTGTTGTCAAGTGATATGAGTAATATGGACATTTCTGCAAATGACTGATACTTTTATCTCAATGTGGTATTCTTAGTTTATCTGATAAAACTCTCTGATAATTTTAATATTAGGCTTCTATGATAAAGGTTGAAAAGTGGTTGGAGTTGTTTTTATGGATGCTCATTTAGTTTGTGGTTTGTTCTTATTACAGATCGCTCTCACTTGGGGTATTATTAGAAATCCTGTAGGATCGACCTAGTAAGTAATGTTGTAGTTGTGAATTGATTTTCAATGGTAATCCGATTGAGAGCAAACTGTGACGAATACAACCTGCAAATCAGATGAATATACACAAACTTTCCTTCAAATAAATAATTGTTTTTGGTGACTGAACATACATAGATTTCTAGTCAATAACGTATATTTATCTACATAAGACTATACTTTAATTATTTATTCGAGAATATATGTTATTACTGACTTCATTATTATTTGTTGAAATCTTATTCTTTAACGTTTCTTTGATAATAGGACCTTAGGTCTCTCGCAATATCATGGATTGATTGAGGTTAGACATTTACACAGTTGGATACTGGCTCAGTAGTCTAGGGATTAGGGGTTCGCGCAAAAGATCGAAGGTTCTGGGTTCCAGTCGATCTGAGGGATCGTGCATGAACACTGGTAAGGGTTTCATGCTACAAAGAGTTGGTCGCTCAGTGCTTCCAGGTTTTTAATGATGGTTTAACTTAGATCGATTAATGGTCTCAGTGAAATTCAACAATCTTCGCAACCCCTTACTGAAAATGTATTATTGTTATTCTGTATGAAAAGTGCTTAAAACATGACATGTAACACCTAAAACTGTTCAATATTTAATTGATACTATAACGACATTTTCATTTTTCTCATGCATCATTTGTGTTTAGCTTCAAGCTGAATTCAAATCTCAATCATTAGATTTAGATAAACTTAACAAACAAGTCTCAAGAGTCCCATTATTGGAGAGAACAGTTAAACAACAAGAAGAACTTATTTGTCGATTAGAAACACTTCTTGAACGTCAAAGAAGTAAGTCAATATAATTTCTTTTTTTAGACTGTTTTAAGTACATAACTTAATCAATATTTGAAGATGATTAAACATATGGAGTTCTATCTAAAGGAACCATTCGTATTTATGTTACCCAAGGTTAAGATTACTTAGCAATTCCCATATACAAACATGATTTCATTTAAGATCAAGCCTTGAATATTGTTATTATTATTTGCCTAGTTCCAACTGATTGAAATATGATCATACTTAAATGAAAAACGACTAAAAAGCTAAAGGTTAATTATCCTCTTGTTCCACTATCAGGGTATTCCAAGATAAGCTTGAAAGATTAAACTTTATCCCTTATAAACAATGAAACCCCATAGAAAATGTCACTGGGGGGGTGGAGAATAAATTTGTTTATTAGTTATTTTTAAATGTTTTGATGATATTCCTTTCTAAGTATAAATAAAGTTTAAAGCGATTAATCCCTTTTATAAATCCCGACAGAACAATGAAAACATGGAGTTGATCTGGAAAATGTGATGTATTTGCACTATACATTTCGAACAATCTGGTCATACATATACTTGTCAAGGCATTTTATATGAAGATTAATAAAGGTCAATTCAATGAAATTTAAGGTAAACAAGGTAACAAACAGGAGAGAAATAATTTTACATCGTATAGAAAGAATAGGAAATTGTCACGTTATCCTAGGCCATAGAATGAAGGATAACTCGACTTCTACCTGAAGTTTGTGTTGATGATGTCGTTCAGAAGAACAATGAGAACTCCACGATCAAACCATCCAGCTCAGTGAACAAAACTCCATCAAAATCATCCACCTGAGCTACTAATCTTCTCCGCCATCTATTAACTCAACAATTTCCTATTCTTTCTATACGATGTAAAATTATTTCTCTCCTGTTTGTTACCTTGTTTACTTGAACTTTCATTTAATTGACCTTTATTAATCTTCATATAAGATGTTCTATCAAAACGAATAAAGTTCTTTGTCATACGTAATGCTTCTAACGTCAATAAGAATAGTATTGTTGTGAATTTGAAGTCCGGCTAATTATCACGTAATTTATTCGTCAATCGAAATACGATTTATTCACTCGTGTACTGTACTAAACGTTCGACCTGTCCTTTATTCACCTAGCCCGTCCAACTGAGTCCAGAAGACCAATAACAGCTTCCATTATGCGAATCATTTATTTCAGACATACTGGGTTTATATACTAGCCAAACAGAACACATCATACCATAAAATAAAAAATAACATTTAGGCAAGATCAAGCCAAAATATTGTTATGAACGTTGGGAGACTGTAATCAATAAACTGAACATAACATGAGAACAGTAAATCGTATAATAATGATCTATAAGTCAACATGAAGCTTATTATAAGATGAATATCAGTCAGTAACAACATAGAACATCGTACGTACGTACATCAGTTCGAGTTGCCACACCACATTAGCACAGAGATGCAGTTGTCGATTCAAATCCCGTAGTGGTAGAGGTAGTAAGGGTATAAGCAGTAATCGGAAAGAGTAGGGTTTGGAGATGTCATTTAAAGAGTATAATCCGGTGAAATAAATTTGAGAAGGGAAAAAAGAGACAAGGAGGAATCAGGAGATTAAAATTTGGGAGAACACAGAGAGTGGATGCACCTGCGCCATTGCAAACGATTTTGAGCCATGTCATTCAGGGTCTCTAACCATCGGTTGCTATCATCTCGCGGTCCCCAATCAGGTAGTCTACACCTACCAACATGACTTAGTCCACTTGTCAGTGACTTCATGGACTTGTGCCATGTTTTGGTCTGGCCGCCCCTAGTTTTCTTCCAATCTACTCCTATACCACTGAACATCGCACGTCGAGGTAGTCGGTCGTTGGGCATATGTAACACGTGTCCCAGCCATCTCAACTGATGAAGTTTCACCACTTCATCAATCGATTTGCCATGCTTACCTAGTAAGTGTTTCCTAACAACCGCGGTACTTACTCAATGGTCCCAGGATATACGAGCAATATTTCGAAGACCCCTATGATGGAATACTAGTAACCTACGAATATCCTCTACTCTTACCGGCCATGTTTCACTGCCGTAAAGTAGGACGGAACGAAGTGCTGCACAGTAAACACGTCCTTTGGTTGATAGACGGATATCTTGCCTACGCCATGAATGACGCAAGTTGGTAAGAGCTAGTTGAGCCTTCTGTATCTGTATTGAGACTTCGTCACACACCAGACCATAAGGGCTGATGAGACTTCCAAGATAAGTGAAGCGGTCGACACGCTCAACTACTTCACTCTCTATCATTAGTTCAGGAAGATGAATATAGATATACATAATCTAATTGCTGAATAGTGATACAATAAGATCTTCACTAAGATATAACAAATATCATTTATATAATTGTTTTCTTTTATTACATTAGAACAAGCATTAAATGCAAATCATTCCAATTATTCAATGAATCCATTAAATACATTAGATAATGAATTATTAGAATCATTTAATGATAAATCAATGATCAATTATCCAAATGTTCATTCAAATAATTCAATGACAACAATTGCATTAAGAAATTTATCTAATGAAAATGAACAATTACGTAATACTATAACTGAATTAAATAGAACTGTATGTAATTTAGCTAAACAACAACAAGATAATAATGAATATCATCAAACTATTGAACAAAAATATCATGAAGAAATTCAAGCATTAAAAGAACAACAAAATCGTTTAGAAGAACAAACATTATTGAAAAATAAAAGACTTGATCAAATTGTAAGTTGTTGTTTCTTTTTTGTTGTGTAATATATTGAAATTTCAATAGTTGAGATTATGATTCAATTGAAACTAGACCATCATGGGAAACTTGGAAACACTGGATGATTGTTTCGTTGTATTTTGAGATTCTCTAGTAGTGAGCATCTACGATTCTGTGTCGCGAGATTCGAAATCAGGATCTATTAGTTTTGTGAGCAAACGCTTGACCATTAGACCACTGAACTGACCGGCATTCAACGGTGTTAGTGTTTAACTTCAACTGATCTATGAGAGTGAGCGATACAAAAATTAAAAAAAACCTTTCTGAGATTAATCATCACATGCTCACTAATGACTGGCTTCAAGAGGTATTTCCTGGAGTTCTAGTGAGAAGCAGTGACCATTGGAATTCAAACGGGTGTGTTGTGAGATAGTAACTTATTGACGACAGTGGTGGATGTGTCGCTCAATTTTGTGGATTAGTTGAAGTTAGACATCAACACCATTGGATGCCGGCCAGCTCAATGGTCTAGAGGTGAAGCGTTCGCGTGTGAGACTGATAGGTCCTGAGTTCGAATCTCCGAGGCGGGACCATGGATGTACACTGCTGAGGACTTCTATAATAGGACGAGTTGTCCATCCAGTGTTTCCAGGTTTTCCATGGTGGTCTAGTTTCAACTGACTCATAATCTCAATTATTGAGGCAAACATATATTTAGTAGAATAGGATTATGAAGATTGTTGAGTTTTGATTAAGATCATGAATCGATCATTGTTAGATTACTATTAAATATCTAGAAGCACTGGACTTCGTTGAAGTTGAAACCTAAGGTCCTGGGTTCGAATCTCGCGTGCACGATCGCAGATACGCACTGCTGAGGAGTCGCATACTGGGACGAAACAGCTGTCCAGTACTTCCAGTTTTTCACCAGTGGTCTAACATTAATCGATTCATGATTTTAATCAAAAAATATATTTGATGTAAATAAATCTAAATGGAATAATTCATGGAAATTTTTCCGAGTTTATTCTATCTTTGCTCTTATTAGATGAAAGATATTGGCAAATAATAATAAAGAGTTCTAGTGGAGAATAGAGGTGTTTTATATTACATCATGGAATTATTTTATGATACTAATTCAAAAGCCTATCTTTGATTAAACAATTAAGTTTTTGTCACAGGCAAAAATATCCTTGAATCACTCATATAACTGTAATCATTTTTATTTGTTATCTAAGCCAACGTTTATGCAGTCAGATCAGTCTGTTTGTAACGGTGATATTTGAAACTAGAACTTTAGTTAGGGTACGATTGAAAACCAGAAGGATTGGATAACTATTTTGTCTTAGTAAGGATCTTTTTAGGATCTCTGACAGGAATTGGAAAAAGAACCTTTATGTCTCGCAACAATCACTTACATTTCAGGTCATTGGATGGTAAACCAATTGAATACATTCTTAGGTTCAACTGAACGTGAGATAATGATAATCCAATGCTATCAATATTTCATTCATGATATATTCGAACTTTACTGGTCACAGTTATTTTATGAGAACTTTAGGAACTCTTCTTCATTCAAGTTGCTAGTAGGGTGACGATTATAATTTTATTTTATGGGTATTGTGGACATTTAAATAGTTTACCGATTTGTGTCTGTGCATGATGATTACTATCTATAAATAGAACAAATCTCAGCAAACATCCGCCACATCGAAATAAATATATAATATCGCTATTATTCTTTAGTAGCTTAGAGGTACCCTGTATGCTGGGAAGGTGTGATAAGTGGCGTGTATGGAAGAAACTAGATGAGGGAGAAGTAAAAAGTGAACCGACAACTCAGTAAGCTCAATACATTCATTCTAATGGGGTTATTTCAAATTCCATTGTTTTTTTCTCCATAAAATACTTTAGGAAAATGAAAAATTTCGAACAGTACTTGCAGATAATGAACGATTAGAATTGTACAAATTATTGGATAATGCTGAATTAAGAATCAAAGCATTAGAAGAAGAGGTACGATTATTAATGATTACCAATATATACTCTTGAATGATTGTTAATATTTCTACGAATAGTTTGATAGAAAATGGCTTGCGAGTAAATAGAAGTTATTATTTACGAAAATTATTGTTATGACTTTATGTCCGGCTTTTTATCACGTGTTTTATTCACCAATCAAAATACGACTTATACAATCTTAGCACTGTGCCAAAACCAATGACGTTCGACCGGTATGGGCAGTCTAGCGTCCTTATTGGTCCTATGTCCGTCTAGCCCGTTCACTTGAGTCCAGAACACCAAATATCAGCTTCCAATATGCGAATCATATATTTTAAACATACTGTGTTTATATTATCAAACAAACAGACCGCAACCCACCATAAAATAAGAAATAATGTTTGTATACAATAAAGCCAAAAAGTGGCTGTAAACGTGGGAGGCAGTAGTTAATAAACTGAACATAGCTTAAGAACCGTAAATCGTACAATCGTACATACAATCGTACCTCGCAACTTGATTGATAGCATTCGATCTGCACTAAGAAGGACTTGACACACATGATCACCACCCAGTGATCAATCAATTGTGAAGAGTGTTCCCTGCAATGAAACGTTTTCATTTAAAGACTGGACTCATCATCCAACATTTTAGATTAAAGTCAGAGTATAAAGTTGGATGTTCTAATTCATTTAAGCGTAGAGAATTTTCCGAATTTAGTAGTCTATAGTGAAATAGATGAGTGTTGGACGTAAGTCTATAAAAATGAATAAGTGTTGCATAATTTGGTAATATAATCAAAGTTGTCGAACGTTCCCAGGTATTCAGTAAAATAAATATTATGCAACTTAATAAAGTGACAGAAGACTATCAAGAATAAATTTACGCAGTAATTTCAAGTGATTTGAAATAATCATTTATGCAATAAATGTAAAAGATAATTGTCTACTCTACAAAGAATCCTTATAGCTTATGTAAGAGGTGAGATCAGATCATATAAAGAAAGGTAATAAGTATACGATAAGTACTTTAAATGATCTGTTTCTGTCCACTAAAAGATCACTACAGACCAAGCACCCAAATGCTTTTGTACGGCCGAGAGTAGAGAGAGTCCTCTCTCCCTAACGAAACGCTCCCACACGGTCACGCGTATATAGCCTCTGCCAGGGAAGTCCTACTCACTGTCTTCTCTCGGTGACGGTGTTGTTTACGAAATTCAGAGGACGAAAAGCTAACTTCCGGTGCTTTAACCGGGTTGATGGAAATGGAGAATCCATCTAGGGAGTTGGAAAACCCTGATTCCAAACCAATGGTGCACATGGGCTCCACGATCCTGAAGGAACAAACGGGGTACGAACCAATCGTGGTCATCATGGGACTATATCTCCTTACGATGCTCCACTACCTTGTGGATCAGACCTTCAGGTCGAAAGCTCGGGGTGTGGCCCTTAAGAAAACCACCTTCTTCAGTTTGGACACCCGGACAGTATCACAGCCCTCACACATATCAAATGAGATTTGTGTGGCGCATATGTAACTGGTGCCTCCTTGTTCCAGTATTTATGTGTTCAAATAAATAAATAAATTTAGACCAAGTGTGATAGAACGGAGCCGCTTATTATTTTAATTATATCTTAGCTAACTTATAATTATTAAGTGTATGTTAAATGGATCTGGACAATGACCAGCTATAATAGAGAATCATAAAAAAATGTATTTGGTTTATTGTCCTTCACCGATGAGTGATTCGTATGTGATAACTCAATAGGCGGTTAAAATTAACTTTCATTTCTGACTTTTCGAGAAATTTTTTTCCTGTAGTATACTACATGTAAATTTGTTATTTCATATAACGGCATCAAAAATACCACCAATTAAAGAACAGTGAATTATCGACCGAACCAATGACGCATAAACCTGTACGAGAAGTCTAGAGTCCTTATCGGTCGTCCTTTCTGCCTAGCCCTGACTATTAAGCCTCTGCAATATGAATCATGTATTTCAAACATACTGACTGGGTTTATATACAAACCAAACAGATCACATCGTACCATAAAATAGAAAATAACATTTGTACAAGATTTAGCCAAAAGTGGCTGTGAATGTGGGAGATAGTAATTGATAGACTGGGTATAACTCAAGAATGGTAAATCGTATAATAATAGTTCATAGGTCAAAATAAAGTTTATGATAAGATGAACACGAATATGAATAAACTTTTTAAACATAGATGGATAGTGGATAGCAGTGGGGTCCAGTTTTGACTCGTGTTTCGTCCTATTTGGGACTTGTCAGCTAGATGTACCTGCATCTCAGAGTTGGTGTTCACTCTTGAACTCGAACTCAGTACCGTTCGCTTCAAACACCATCGCGTCCTATCCATCTTTGCTTAAAAAGCCTGTGACTTAAAGGTGATATCGACGCAATCCGCACAGAATGCACATATGCCAACATGAGACTAATCAATTGAAGTCCTAAATGGGAAGATACAAGTAAAACAACACCAAGTGAACGAATATGAATAGTTTAGTTACTTAGCAATTATACGATAGAAATTTATATATCATATTGGTTCATAAATAGATCCTAACAATTACTATTCAATATTCTCGTCACGATATAACAAATATCTATTCTTATAACTTTATTTTAGCTTGAACGTCAAGATATTAGAGTACCAAGAAATTCTAATGATATAGGAGCTTCACGTAAATCTAATTTATCAAAAGAAAATGCTTGGAAATACTCTGGTCCAGTAAGTTAAATATAACATGAATACATATACATAATATGTACTTTCATCATGGTATTTTTTTCTCCTAAATGGTCATATATATATGGAATAACATTTCACAGTAATGTAATGAGTGTACAATTACCATATCACTGTATGTATCTTAATATAAGATTGTGAAAAACTTTGAAAAAAATTGTCTGAAAGTTTATCTATCTGTCATAATGTACCGTGTCTATCAAATGAATACTATTGTTCATAGGGGATGTAAGTTGAATTCATTATAATTGTTATCAAGATGATTCGAGTTGTATTTCTGGTAACAATGAATGGTCATTTTAAGACATATTAAGTTTTTGATTGAGATCTTGAACCGATTGATGTTAGGCCACCATTGGAAACCTGGAAGCACTGGAAAGCGTTTCGTCACATTGTGGGATTCCTCAGAGGTACGCATCCCGCTCGCGGGATTCGAACCCAAAGCCTGACGTTTCGCGCGCGAACGCTTAACCTACTGGACCACTAAGTCGGAATCCAATGGTGTTAGTGCCTAACTAGTGACTAGTTTCGTGAGAAAATTCTCGGAGTTCTGGTGTGAAGCCGTGACCAGTGGAGCTAATCCATGTCGGGTAGAGACAGGTATCTACCTCAGTACAATGGAAGCTGGTTGCGCGATTTCGTGGATTGGTTGGTGTTAGACACTAACACCATTGGATGCCGGCTCAGTGGTCCAGTAGGTTAAACATTTTCGTGCGAGACTTAAGGACCTGGGTCCGAATCCCGTCAGCGGAATCGTAGATGTGCACTACTTAGGCGTTCCACAATAGGGCGAAGCGGTCGTCTAGTGCTTCCAGGTTTTAAATGATGGTCTAATATCAATCTGTTCATAATCTCAATCAAAAACTTAATAATCTCCACAACCCCTAAACTAGTAATTATGACATATTATTTTTTTTAGATGAGACTATAATTTATGAATGAACTAATCAGATTTAAGATAACAGCTCTTAGGTTTTAGGATGAAGTTCATTCATCTATTTGGTTACATAACGTTTTGATATTTTAGCTAATGTCAGTTCATGGTAAAAAAAACACAACTCTAAATCTAATTCCTAATCCTAATCGTCTAACCGTCTATGTTACTCATACTAACTTATAACCTTTGTCCTAGATAGTATGTGGATATCCTCAAAGTCACTTTAGCACCGTTCAAAGGTCGTTCATGAAAGGAGTTAATAAAAATCAACATAGAAAAAAAGGGGGTGATATACAAGACAATGGGATTAAGATGATACATTGTAATTCTCAAATAAAAAAGTCTGAATTATATCATAAATAGGTTAGACTTACTTTAGGTTGGTTGGTAAATAGATTCAGTATATCACTCCGATTACTATAAACTTTTTAATATCTCACCTCTTTTGTATTAATAATTAACGTTTTAATTTAGTCAAAATTAGAACTAAATGCCGTAAGAAGATTATACTAATACTTTTAAATTGAAATTCACTTTTAATATTAAAACGTTAGCTTCTAAAGTAAAGTTGGATGGCAACTAGCAGTGAAATACACGACGCGTGGTTCATCCTATTTATGACTTGCCAGCTAAATGTACCTGAACCTAAGTGTTGTTGTTTGCACCGCGCATTTATGTACACCGCTAACCATCATCCAATTCTGCTTGAAACGCAAAAGATTTAATGTCAATATTAAGGCAGCCCACACAAGATACACATATGTTTGAAGAAATTGATTTTAATCCATAAGATTCAAATGAGTTAACGCTTTACGCTTGATGTACATACCTCATCATAGTGGATTCGAAGTTTAAAGTCTTGGAGAAACTAGATTCAGCTAGAAAGTTGGGTCAATGAACAGTTTTTTTAAAAATACTCTCAGACAAAATTTCTCTGGTCATATGATTAATTGAATACCATCATTATTCCATCATGGAATAAGGGTTCAAAGTTATTGTTTCAATTAGTAGTTTTACAGAGATTATAAAATGGTGAGAATATTATTCGGAATAACTTAAATTCTTAGGAATATCGAGAGTCTTCTAAATCTTCTGGTTATTGATATTTTAAAGAAGAAATGAGATTCTAGATTCGTTGGCTTTAACAGTTATGATGACTAATAGCAGTTAATCATATGTAATAAAATGAATAGTTCTATTGTTTCAAACAAATTGAATTATTAACAATTCAGTGTAACTGTCACACCGATACTGGTGAATCACTGATTACATTCTGAAAGCGATTAATTTGTCAGGTACTTACTCCTCATCGAGAAACATTGGCCATCGGACTCTCTCCTGGAAAATCCTTTCCAGTTGGTTCCAGTTGCTATTCATTCTTTTAATGTATGCCTTCAGTTCCCGGCACAACGTGTTCTTTGGTTTGCTTCTTTTCATTTTACTTTGAGGATTCCAAGTTAGCCCTTTTCTCGTGTTGTAGTTCGATAATTTCCACAATGTATGTGATATTCACTTAAGGCGTCAGTCCCTAATTTCCTCTTCATCTGGAAGCTGGTTTGCTCTCTCTCACAGTAAGGGTAGTTCTCTTTCATTATGTTCAATTAAAAGGTTAGTTTTGCTACTAGAACATACTTTTGGCTAGATAATTTCAATAGATTCAACTGAAACCAATTATAAACAGAAATTGTTCTCAAAGTATTCTGACTATCTTTTTAGATAACATCTATAGGTTACAAGTTTATATAGAATAAATGGAATTTTTTTAGCAATGGGATTTAGGATGTGCGTTTTATCCTATTCAGGACTCTTCACCTGGATGTACCTGAATCTTGGAATGTATTCAACTGACCAGTTCAAAATAAGATGAAAATTAAATCTGTAAAACAGTTCAATGATAGCTTTCATTTAACTGGCCACTGTACCACGTTTTATAATTTAGCACATACTGTTTATCGCTGATATATTGACACAAAGTTTTGACATTTTTGCTATTGAGCCTTCGTTTGGGAAGCATTAGATAGTTACATTTTATTTTTAAGAAATACATTTATTTCTCTAACTCCGAACTCATGCGAGAATCACATACACTACTATGAAACTGAACAGTGGCAGATGACTCGATGGTTCAAATTTCCTAAGGATTCTTTGTGTTTTTAATGATCGAAATTAGTCCTTTCTCAATTAGCATTTTTACCGCTCTTCAGGTATGAAAATATTCAAATAATGACTGAGGTATTAGTGGAAGTTAAATACTGAACCTTTTAATTCACTTCTCTTACCTATTAACAATATATTTTGGTGAACCAATATGTCAATATTACTGGCTGAGAGTTTAAGATGGGATCTTCAGTTAAGAATAAAGTTGACACCGGTCAGAAATAACAATTTTTGAAAGAAATGCATTAACAAACGTCAAACACTATTCATATTTGCATGAACTGTAATGTCTATGAACAGAATTTATGTATTTCTAGTACTTGTTTTCTATAGAAACCAATTCAGCGGTACTAAATCATTTATGTAATCTATTATTTAAGACAGGTAGAGTATATTCTCTTTTTATTAGTTGGGAACGAACTACCTAACTAAAGGCTAACATATCTTTACGACTCCGGAGTCATTTAAGGAACATGTTACAAAAAATGACGCGGTTGACTGGATAGGGATCAGTCTAGATCAATACTCTTATCGAAACACGGACTAAACTTCTTCGCTCATGGTATTCACAAACGGTACTTGGGTATACAGCATTTATACTGATGTGTATACTATGGAATTTCTGGGTCCTGGACTTGTGTATATCTGGTATGCATACAGCGTAAACCGGTAAAAAAATGTCCAGTGTTCCATGAAAATTACTATTCCAATTCAGTAGTTGTGCTACTGAGTAAACAGAAAACAAAATATTCTGATAGGCTAATCGGCCTTACCAATAGAATTCACACATCTGCAAGGGTCATCTGAAGAATCACTAATAATAAACAAATCAGTTGGTGTCATAAGGAACTTTTGATCAATTTATTTATATTATTATTAACTCACAGAACATTTAGTTAGTTAGTTCAACCAATCGTTGCTTTTCTTTTTTTCCATTCAAATAGTCCAAAGTACCACTTGGAACAAGTGATATATATGCACGAAAATCCCTAGAGAAGCCTATTCCAGAGTATGATTCGTACTAGGGGCAATACTAACAAATCACTTTAGTTTTTCGGGTTCATTTTTCGAATTGGTACGTATTTTTATTCTGAATTTATCAGTAGTTTTAATCGCGTTGAGTTAGATTTTTAATACTTTTAGTTTGGCATAATATTGGTAAACATTTGCTAAACTTCTTATTAACTACTTATAAAAAAGTTAGTAGTGTCCTACATTTTTGACACAATAATGAGTATTTCGAAATTTATATATCACAGAAAATGTCATGAGAAAATTATGAATACCAGTCAAATATTTGACCAATTTTTTTTAATTACAGGTTATTTTTCATGCCACTGAGAATTTCTGATGATGTGTAAAACATCTTAATAAATTTCGGTCTAACCTCGGTCATTGCATAGTCTAGTTGAGAGCTGAGTACACAGATTGAACTTTATCCAAACATATCTGAATAACATTGAAAACATGAATCCATCAGTGTTAGACCACCATTGAAAACTTGGAAGCACTGTACAGTCTTTTCGTTCTAGAATGGGACTCCCGTTAAAATCGTGATTATTATTATTATCAGCTTTATCCAATATTATATTTTTGGTACAATATAGGATTCTCAGCGCAAAGTATTTCAACAAGTTTCCGTTTCTCTCTTCTTGGTCGGTCCTGGCAATAAATATTGAGTGATCACCAGTTAGATGTTAGCAGTTCACTAAATGAACATCTGAATGATGTGCACTCTTTTCGTTGTATATTGCCAGCAACCACATTCTCTCTTATTGAGTTTTTTGTAACTTTGACAACGAAAGGTTGTACACTTTTCAGAAATGTAGCAGAATAGGTTGTGCGATTAATAAATATAATGATATATTAAAACAAACAAAAATAGATA